TGGAGAGGAGCCAGAAACGGTTCTTCAAGCATTCTGAGACCGGGGAGAAAAATATTTAAATATACGTTACAAATTACACATATACATGGCATTCAACTGCTTTATTCTCTTAGGCAGTTTCAAAGACAAAATATTGAGGTCATCAATAAGAAATTAGAATAATAATGACAGACTTGGATGCCCAAGTTTGTGCTTCCATGTACCTGTAGTTCCAACAATTCAAGTATTTTATCTGTCTTGTTAAAATCGTATTTTATATTTTTCTCATTACATAATTATTTTCATTTATTAAAAATGAGCTAATAAAACATCTTCAGGTGACTTGTTAAGAATAGCATGATAGCTGGCCAGTATAGCTCAGTGGTTGAGTATACAGGCATGCACCAAGAGGTTCGATTCCCTGTCAGGGCACATGTCAGGGCTGCGGGTTCAATCCCTAGTAGAGGTTGTGCAGGAGGCAGTTCATGGGTGTTTCTCTTTTATTGATTTTTCTAGCTCTCTCTCCTTCTCCCTTCCCCTCTCTTTAAAATAAATAAAAACATAAAGGAATAGCATGATATTATGTCAAGTTCTAAGACTAAAGGTCCTAAGTATTATGTAAATTTAAAAATATTTTCATAGATTAAAAAATACTAATAATACAAAAACCATGTCTAGCCCGGTCAGCATGGCTCAATGGTTGAACATCTACCTATGAAGCAGGAGGTCACAGTTCAATTCCCGGTCAGGGCACATGCCCAGATTGCAAGCTCAATCCTTAGTGTGGGACGTGCAGGAGGCAGCCAATCAGTGATTCTCTCTCATCATTGATGTTTCTATCTCTTTCTCCTTTTCCCTTCCTCTCTAAAATCAATAAAAATATATTTTAAAAAGCCATGTTTACATTATAAACTATTACAAATTATTATAAAGTGTTATTTTAAGAAGCCATTAAAATAAAGATATGTTTGATGACAGTCTATTGTAGTTCCTGAATTTCTGATCTTTTCTACAGTCAGCCAGCTTTAGATGTAATAATTAAAAAACTGTATTTCCATGGTGGTAACAAAAGATGAGCTCCTGTCCCCTTGACTCACCTGGTCACTGTCTTTTGGGGCAATGTGAGGGATGCTTGTGGATGCAGAATGTAACTACTGTTATGGTCGGCGAGTGCATCCAGTCTTGCAGTTGGTAAGTTTCTGTTGCTGGGTTTCTCTTCAGAGGCATCTTAACCACAATCACAAGAACAAAACAACATCACTATCTTGAATAAGACCATGAGAATGTAACTAACTAAAACTTTAATATTTGAAACAGGAAAGGGAAGATATGTTCTGAAGCTAAAGACAATAAACCTTACAGTGCTTTATTGAGAATTTCTCTGATAAACTTGTTTACTTTCCAATTATAATACTGACTACTAAAATTCTGTAATTTAGTTTTTGGAACTTATATTGAACATCTAAGATATAACAGTGGTAGAAATAATTGTTATACATAGAGTCTGTATAATTTCCGATTATACATAATAGGAAAATATAAAACTGACTCTTGTTTTTGTTTCTATACCATGTTTACTATGTTTTCTGCAAACTATGTTTTTTTCCCTTATGTTTTTGTTTTAACAACTGTTAACAAAGACAAAGAATCATAAACATTAAGGTAAAAATATCTACCCTAAATCATAACTATGAACAAGCAACAGAAGAGTGTAACTATGATGTTAGAAAAGAGATTCAAATAGATGAAATGGCAAGGGAAGCAAAAGGAAGAGTATAGTGTTATCATTAATATGTGGAGAAAAAGTAAAATAAAAAGAAACTGGAAATATGAGTCTCCTTTCTGAAATTGAAGGAACAAAGAAAGAAGGAAAATAGCAAAGAGGATGAAAAGAATCATTAAAAAAAGTAATAAGTGATATGACTAACAACAATACTGATAAAAATACATAAAAATACTAATGTAAAATCTTCTCCAGTAGCTATTAGCACTATATTCTTGTTATTATTGTTGGTATTATTACTGTTATCATAATTAATAATTTATTTTATGCTCACTGGTCATTTGGGAGGAAGCAAGAGTCAACCAGCTTCATAGAATTCCAAAATGAAATAGACAGCTAACCTAGACAGGAGTTGAAAAATGAACTTAAAATTTATTTGGGCTAAGAAATTTTTTCTAATTATTCAGTTCACAACCTTACCAAAAGAAATCAATTTTAGCACTGACTTTCATGAGGTGATTTTTCTAAGTGTATATCTTTTTCTTTAAAGCATTCTAAAATTCCCTATCTCCCATTATTACTCACCCTGAGGACTATTCATATCCACAAGTTGCCCCTGAGGTATAATCACTTGTGTCATTCCTGTCTGGGTAGATGGAATTACACGAAGCATCTGTCCATTTTCTGATGAGCTGGCAACAATCATCTTGGATTCATTAAAAAAGAAATCAAATGCATAAGCCTATACTAATTTAAGAGTTCTTACTTAAATCATTAAAGACATGCCTGTCTCTTTGGTCAACACTATTATTTCCCTCATTTTATAGATGAAAACACTGAGATACATAAAAATTTTTCCAAAGTCTCACAACTGTTAACTGATAAAGCTAGAATTCAAAACAGGAAGTTTGACCCTATGTCCTATGATCTTAACCACCTATGATCGTAGTCATTACACATGGGTGAGATCAAATGACTCAGTAATATGACAAGGCTCTGACTGTCATATTGTATGTCAAATGTATTAACTTTTTTGTATTTATTGTCTTACCTATACATGTTTGTCCTATTTGTGTGGTAATCATCTATATTTTAAGTCATTTTATTAGTTAAAAAAACAGTAACTTTTTAGATGCCTAATTAAACAGTATTTGTTTTTATATCTCTGCATTTATATATATCTTGTCTTGGTCTATAGGGAATACTACAAAGTTCCAAAAAATCTAAAAGCATAGAGAAAAGTATACATTATACTTTTTTTCAGGTTAATACTGAACCCATTGCTTTAAATTTAGAGGAATGTCAATGTGTGGGAGGCAACCAGTCAATGTGACTCTCGAATGTTTGATAAGAAATGCAAATTTTTAAATCTTCAAACACAAATAGTAAAACTACACATATATATATACATATATACATATATATATACATACATACATATATATAGTTAGTCCTCACCAGAGAATATTTTCTCTAGAGAGTGTGGAAAGGAGGGGGTGGAGAGAGAGAGAGAAAGGGAGAGTGAGAGGGAGGGAGGGAGAGAGAAGAGAGACAAATTGACTGGTTGCCCCCACAGCACCCCCGCAATGCAAGTATGTGCCTTTAACCAGGAATCGAACCTATGACCCTTTGGTGTGTGGGCTGACACTCTAACCATTGAACACACTGGTTAGGGCTAAAACTCGTTCTTTATAAAATATACTCACCATTTGTGCATTAGAATCCTCCAATGACTGAAGTTCATATTGAATAGGTTGCCCATTTTGGTCCACTAGGTGAAATTGCTCTGCAGAAAGAGTCTGTGCCTGAGTCAGGGGCCCTGGTATATTCTGTGATGTGAGAGAATTATCTGCTTCATGAGTAGTGACGGGTAAAACTCTATCAGAACTATTTTGTCCAAAGGAAGGATCCCTGGAGTCGATACAGGTTGAATGCTTTGCAAAAAAATAATAAATAATCACTTGGATGTTTGTAAAACGTAACGATTTTTTAAAAAAAACAGAATGTTTATAATAAAAATGAAGACTTTTTTTCAGTTAATTATCCACTTTACACTGCAAAAGTTGTCAATTCACAGACTGATATACACAGAAAACAGTTCTTAAGTGAAATTGATTTTTATTATATTCAACCTCAAGTGATGAAATATAATTCAACATAAGGATTTCATGGGTATAAAATGTTATGAATATACAAAACTAAATATGATAGAACTGTGAAAAATAAAATGTTAAAATTCTTGAATACATTAAGTATAACAGTATTCCTTCAGCATAAAAAGTTGTTAAATGGCATGTTGTTTTCCCTTAGAATGGGAAAAAGTTCCCAGTTGAATCCCTACCTCAAATTACCTGAGAATCTGTTTTTGAATCTTCGGAATCATTATGGTTGACTATTAATGAATCATTAGACTGTTCCATGCTGACATCATGTTCAATTCCATTTTCTTCTATTATTTAAGAGCTGAAAGAGTTCAAATATCTGATCAATTAAAGCCTTAATGTTTTTACATAATTTATGTCTAAATCAAATCACTCACTTCCCCTACTCTGTTACCCTATACGATTTAGGTTAAGTCATTCCCACTCTATAAATAATAAACATTTTCGTTAAATGATTTGCCAAGGCACCAGAACATATTCAAGGCAGGACATAGTACCATGCAGTTCCTTCTTCCAATCTTTCCACTCATATACTGGCTTATTAAGACTGCTGTTATGTGGCATATACTGTTATACCCTTCAAATACTTCTAAAACTTTCATTTTACAAAGCTTTAATAAAAGTAAAGCCTTTTAACTTTATGAGTTGGATGTACCATATTGTAGCATTAAATAATTTTTAAAAAGATCTCTTGGTATAGGTGGAGATTAGGTATACAGAACTCTCACCATAATATACAATCAGTCAAGCTTTGCAAATAAAGAAATATGTATTCCAAAGTTTGAGCTACTAAGGCCTAGTACAGTGATTTTCAACTGTGGTGATTTTGTCTCCTTGCCCACTCCCCACCCCTCAAGGACATTCAGCAATGTCTGCAAACATTTTTGGTTGTCAGTACGGCGGCTGGGGAAGAGTGGAGGAGTGCTACTGGTATCTAATGGGATACTGCTAAAAATCTTAAAACGCACTGGACAGCCACCACAACAAAAAGACCAATGTTGCTTAGGTTCACAAACTCTGACCTACTATATTGTAGTGAGTATAGGATTCTGTATTATCTAAACACACACACACACACACACACACACACACACACAAACGTTTTATGTCTTAAAACTGGCGTAAGGTTAAAATGAAACTGGTAAAGAATACCATTGAAAATTTATAATATAAAGTAAATCTCATAGAATCTTTTTAAGAACCCACCATTTTATTTTATTTTTTAAAAGACAGCATAAATTTTTTTAAATCATTAAAATTTTATTTTTTCAATTAATATGCACTAAATTGAACTTTTCTATGTGTATATAATCTATGGATTTTAATACACATGTCCATGTAATCACCACCACAATCAGGATACACAATAATTTCATCACCCTAAATCCTAATTTAAATTTATACCTTGTACTTGAGATTTATTTAGTAGTATACATATTTGAATACATATTTTTCTGTGACAGTATGCAAATATTCATTTATAAAATTAACCATTTTTTAAAAATCTACAAGGTTAGCCATTTCATATTTCCAAAATATAGTAACTATTCTACCTCAAATATAAATTGTAATAGGCTATAAAATCACTCTTATTTTTAATATATAACTATGAAATATCTTTAAATTGCTTCTCCTTTAAGATTTTAAATTACTTGTATTATAATCTAATTTATTACCAAAATTCCAAAAAATTGTAGTTACCTCTCAAGCTATAAGAGAAAAATTTTATTTTATAACTTTCTTAGATTGGCTTACTTATTTGATCTCTTCAACAGCCCTGTGATTCAGTTACTTTCTCCAATTTCCATATAAAAAATAAGACTCGGGCAATTACGTAACTTTATCAAGATTACAAATACATTAAGAGGCCAAACACTCAAATCTACATGTAATGATCTCAAAGCCTACACTTCATTCTTATAATAGAAACTCTTTTGAGGTAACAAAGCTCCCTCCTTCCTTCATTAGTCTCTTTAAATATTTTTTTGATAGGTTAACAAATTAAAGATGCTAAAAGTTCTTTGTTCTCAACTTTTCCTTGGTTATAATTTAATTAGAGGCATTCCTAATACCCAAAAGCTCTCCAGCAAGAAATCTAAGACCTCTTACTTCACCAGAAAACTGAGCTCTAATTATGCAGGCATTGCCCACTGAGAAAACATCCTGTAAATAGATTCAAGACTTAAAAACTACAAATAGCTAAGGGGCAAGAATTCTAAAAACTTAAACTCTTCCTAAGGTGCCTGGTCTTATTACAAATTATCTCTTCTGGACTAAAATTTCTTTTCATTTATTTAATTTCTCTTACCCTAACTTAAATTTCATCAATGAAATTTATTTTAGAGAGAGGTAGGGAGAGGGAGAGAAATACTGATTTGTTGTTCTACTTATTTATGCATTCACTGGTTGCTTCTTGTATGTGCTCTGACTGGGATGGGACTAGCAACCTTGGTGTACAGGGATGACACTAACCAACTGAGCTACCCGGCCAGGGCTCATCAATGACATTTTCATTGGAGTTAATAAGGATTTTCTCTCAAAAAGAAAACTTTGGAAAGAGTAGCAGTCATTAACAAATTTGTGTTAATTTACATAAAGATAGCTTTCTTCCTTTAAGTTAAAAACAGCTACCATGAAAAGTTCGAAGGTGAGACAGCAAGTACATCTGAGGCTCAGAGCACTAATTTTAAAAAAAAGGGGGGGGGGGGGATACAGCAGGCCTGAGCTAGATGCTGCAGTGAGGATCTAGGGCAGGATGAACGCCCTGGAAGTGCACTCATAAAGAGGTGGGCGATGTTAAAACCAGGAAGATTGCCAAACTAAACCACTTACTTCCGAACTTTGCCCAGACTGGGATTTTGCCAATGGAAGAAAGGTACCTTATTTTTCTAATGTCTTCTGGGACCTCAAAACTCAAAAATTTCCTTTCAGTATATACTACAATATACCTATTCTATGGGTTAGTATCACTTTTTCTGATTACACTGGGAAAATACTACTTAAAGTAGTTTCTATACGTAAAACTGGGTTTCAGTATCTCTTGACCTAACCCACTGCTGAATTGGAAATTAAAAGTACATTTTTAAGATACAGATAACCTTTTTTTCCATTGATTTTGTTGTTGTTAATCCTCACCTGGACAGGGGTGGAGCTGGAACCTGAATCCCAGGTACAGGCCACTGTTTTAAAAAATAACTTGAATGCAGTGTAAAGTATTACTCCTTCCTTCCCTAATCCTTCTAAGCAATGTGCATTGCCTTTTATCATGTCAAAGTAAAGGTTTTTTTAAAGAATGAGGATATTAATATCAAATATCTAGGTATAAAATGTTCTTTGCCAACAAGTAACCACAAACATAACAAAGTACCTATATAGAAAGTGTAATGCAGTGGTCCTCAACCTTCTGGCCCTTTAAATACAGTTCCTCATGTTGTGACCCAACCATAAAATTATTTTCGTTGCTACTTCATGTTGCTTCATGTTACATAACTGTCATGTTGCTACTGTTATGAATCGTAATGTAAATACCTGATATGCAGGATGGTCTTAGGCGACCCCTGTGAAAGGGTCGTTCGACTGCCAAAGGGGTCGCGACCCACAGGTTGAGAACCTCTAGTGTACTGTGACTTTTCCCTTAACTCATAATAAACAATTGTGAACTTTTATGACAGCTGTTGCTTTCAATTAGTTAAAAATAAAATTATTACCTTCAGGAAGTAGCTCGAATTTAAATTCCAGGCCTCAAGCATCCTACTCCCCCTCAAAATGCCCTCTTGTCCACTGAAGTTCATCCTTTCTGCAGCACTAAAATCATGACAGTAGTAGCTTCATTTATATGAGAGATATAATTATGTCTTCATAGCAGCATTTTTTTCTGTAATGAGAACACATTCAATGTTTATCTTATTTTCCTACATATAAAGAAAAATACTAGATTTTGTTATACAGTTCTATTATAAAATAGCCATTGCAAGCCTGGTATAGTGGAACCATCAGTTAGACTCAATTGACAAGAACTGAAGGCTAGAACTGACTTTACTAGAACTGCCCTTGTCTTGTGGTAGGTGATCTAACTTCTGTTTCTTTATATAAAATCAGACATTTGGACTTAGTTTTTGTCTCAACTCTCACATTCTAGAACTACTGAAACAAAGACCTCCGCAGCAGATTACATTTTTGTCCACAATGAAAAGTATTTACTAATGGAGCACAGCAACTTTTGAAGCTATAGAAGCTATAAAGCCCTCCTCCCCATACCCTACTCCCAGTAATATCCTGGAATTGATTTGACAAGCTTATTTCTTAATCAAGTAGTATTGGGCTTGGATAAGAGAACAGAAAAGAGAAAGTATTGAATATATACTACATGTAGTTAATGACTGGACTTCAGAACACACGCTAAGGCATTAAATTCTGCTGGCAAATTGCTTTCTAAAATGTTTCACATTCCATTAAAAAAGTGGATAGATTAGGAAGAAAGTGTTGTTAGAAGTTGTTTTAATTTATAGAGAGAAGGGACTTTTTATTGTTTATACGTATTTCATACATGGCAGAGGGGAAGTGACCATTCAGGCTACAGTCATTCACATCTCTGTGGACCATGTCGGGGCTACTGCTGTTTTGATTTTACTCAACTGCATTTCTATTTGTTCAAAAATTTAGAGGCAATTCTCAGCTGCAATTTCTAAACATCTGTCTTAGTATCAAATTATTCTGTGGTTGTTGTTTTTTGCCCATAGGCTTTTGTGTAAATTTTTCCATTAAAACCAACAGTCTGAAATAAATCCCCAAAGAGGTCAGGCTAAAGAATAAAGCCACTTGAGGTTTACTCTTAAGAGTTTCTTTTAATTCTATGTACCTTGATTAGTCTCAAGATTTAAAGGATCTTGAAAGCTATTAAATATCAGTGTCGGATCTTATTAACTACATCTTAAAAATATTGCTCGAGCCCTGACTGGTTTGGCTCAGTGGATAGAGCATTGGCCTGCAGACTGAAGGGACCCAGGTTTGATTCCAGTCAAGGGCATGTACCTGGGTTGCGGGCACAACCCCATAGGGGATGTGCAGGAGGCAGCTGATCGATGTTTCTCTCTCATCGATGTTTCTAACTCTCTATTCCTCTCCCTTCCTCTCTGTAAAAAAAAAAAAAAATTTCAATAAAAATGTATTTTAAAAAATATTGCTCAAAAGTACTCTAGAAAATATCTTTCAACTTTTAGGTAAATGACAATGTACCTTTTATGATCTATACAAAATTAATATGACTCAGTGGTGTCAAATTAAATCAAGACTACTAGTTCACAAATATTTTATAGAATAATTTAATTTTTTAAAGGTGGGTGAAAGTTATAGCATGCTAAATCAACATCAAAAATTTAAATGTATGCAAATTTATATAGAAACCATAACCTATTTTAACTTCTTTTTTGCAGTGAAAAAAATAATTTAAGGCTAGTATTGTGTCTCTTTTACCTAAAATTTGTTCTTCCTATAAATTTCCTTGTAATCTTGGTTTCTATCCATTTCCTGTATATACACATCTCTTCTTACCTCTTTGCTCTTTGAGAACTTCACAAGTTATTTCATGTAGTCCTCACAATGATTCTGAGGCAGATTTTATTTTCTCTACTTATAGGTAAGTGCCGGGAGCCGGTCTATCCCTACTGTTTCAAGGGACCTGGCATATATGGCATACTGTTCTTAATATGTTTGCTCACCTTCTTGGCGCTGTGTTTTAACCAAGGTCACCTCTCCGAGAAAGGTTGTTTCCCCAGGTAGGGATTTTCCCCTGAAGTTAGGGAGGGAATAAAACCTCTTAACTAAGTGCCAGGCGGGTAACT